GCTGGCGGCTGCTGTGACGCCGCTGGCGGCTGCTGCGACGGTCTCAGCTGCTGTGACGGCGGCACCTTATCGCTCAGATTTGTTTTGCTGTGCTAATTGGATTAGTTCACATGACAAAATCACAGCTGTGCTCGAGTGTCGTGGGGGAGGGGGGGGGGGGGAATCGTTACAGGAATTACAAGGCTAGTTTACTTATACTTCCAATACTATAAATTATCATCCACACTTACGTGGAAATGATCACTCAATTCACCTGGGCTGTAGGAGGCTCGAACCGTTGACCCCCCGTCCCTATGTGAGGCCCAGGCTGTATCGACCGTCCAGTATACTATACACGGAGGGCCAATAAGTATGCTTGTGTTATATTAAGACTTTCCAGAGGGGGGGAGGGTTGTTGGCTAGTTACACGACTACAAAATACTGAAATTTATTTTGGTATATATATATATTATTTCTGCAATTTTGTTCAGAGCGACATCTATATATTTCATTTACAATATCTGTATGTTGACAGGCCGTTAGCAGTGTCGTCTGTGTAGTTACCTAGCAGTAGTTACCTAGTTGTGCTTGCAGGGGGGTTGAACTTCGGCTCTTTTATCCCGCCCGTCAACATCCAATCAGCTGGTGTACAGGTTCCTGGTCCTGTTGGGCTCTTATCATGCCTACATTTGAAGCTGTGTATGGTGTCCGCCTCCACCACATCACTGCCTAATGCATTATTCCATTTGTTAACTATGACACTGACAAATTTATGTCTGATGTCTCTTTGGCTGGTTTGGGTACTCGGTTTCCACCAGTGGTCTCCCTTGTGCGAGTACCCTCTCCACGTTTTCTAAATAGTCTCTGTCTACCCCTATTAATTCCTCTAAGAATTTTGTATGCGGTAATCATATCTCCCGTAACTTTGCGTCAGGTTATGTCATCCAGTGACGACTGGATGACATAACGTGTGTGTGTGTCTCTCTCTCTCTCTCTCTCTCTCTCTCTCTCTCTCTCTCTCTCTCTGGCATGAAAATTTAATTTTCTCGCGATTTAGTGTTATATAGGGACCAGGATGATAATATTGAACCTGGCGAAATTAGTCGAATATGACAAATATTATTCTTATGTTGGTCCATGATGATAATTAAAGTATTAACGAGGAAACGAACAGCGAGGCAGAATGAGGCAGCAGAGGAGTGAGTGATTTGGAAGGGAATTGCTGGTGATAAAAGGGGAGCAGGGATAATGGCCGAGAACTTAAAAGACTGTGAAAGATAAAGTTATTAAGACTGTTAGGAGAAAAAGTGACAGGATGGGAGAGAGAGAGAGAGAGAGAGACGCAGGACAAGGACTGGGAAGGGTTGGCGAGAGGAAGTGAGGGAAATGTTGTAAAAAAGTGTGGGAGGGGAGAGGTTGTCAGGGTAACCACAGGAGAGGCCGAGTGTGGCAGTCAGGCTCAGCCCTCCTGACCTGACCTTCCTTGCTATACCCTATACCTGTGTGTGGCGCCGTCCCCCCCACCCGTCCTCAGGACAGGCGAGTGGCGCACCTCACCACAAACACCGCCATCATCCTCGCCTCCTGCTGCTTCTTCCACTCTTCCCTCTCTTACCCTCACTTCCCAAGGATTACCTTCATGACAAGATAATCCTTGGGAACGTTACTGCCCCTCTCAGCCACTAACTCGGGTGATTTTTCAGTCTCTCTTTATAAAAAGAGACGAAAAGTGCCTCTTTCGTCACAGATTCAACCCCGAGTTAGGGTGAAGTTAGTAAGACTTAGCAGTAATAGACAACCTAAAGGAGAGGGGTTAAACAACACTAGACAAAACCACCACCAAATGTACTTAAATACTATGTACAGGTAATTATTTACAAGATATGCACACACACACACACACACACACACATCACATATACGTCACTTTCACACAGAACACTACAAAAACAGGGTTTCTACCCTGTGTACTCGCTTAGTTGTGCTTGCGGGGGTTGAGCTCTGGCTCTTTGGTCTGCCCTTCTCCTGAGGCACTCACGTCGACGAGTCCACTTTTCCAGCAATCTACGGACCAGTCCTCAGCAGTATTCCCACAGGGGCTAAACACTCACTTTAGCAGTGAACGGGCTAACCTCCTCTCAAGCCTTAACCTAGAAGACTGCCCGACACTCACGCCGTCTCCGAACACAACATGGCCATCCCGGGATACGTCGCTCCAACACCAGTAGCTCGCTGGCTACCAACAGACAGCTCACTGCCTTCAACGACGTTCAGACCATAACAAGCCTTGTGTTCCTGAGGACTGTTCACGGTGGACTGCTTTCCTCTGTCCAGCGTACCTCTCACATCACCTCAGAGGGGAAAAATCATACAGTACGATGGAAACTACACCTGATTCAGCGAGAGCGGCCTTCCATCAGTAAACACAGAAAACGGTTCAGGTGCGGTCGACAGATGGCGGTAACCGCGTCACAGGGCGTGTCGGAGACAGGTGACTTAAGGGTGAAAAAAAAACTCAACTCGTGCTATATGGGAAAAGGAAGTGTGAATCTTCCTTGAGGACATTCCCAGGCATTAAAAGCTGCCAGTTTGCTTCAGATCAAGACTTTTTTATCTACAAAAGAATTTTGGATCTGTTTCAGGAAATTATTCTTCCTGTGGAAAATACATTTCGTTCGGTAGAAAATATATTGTGGGTTTGTTACATAAATTGTAGTTATGTATTTCGACACGTTAATATATATACGGAATTACATGTTCTAACTGTAGTAAATTTTCTGTATTTAAATAAATCGTAGAAAAGTTTGACCTGTTACGCAAAATCTGAAATTTTGGAAGCAGGGATTCCTTACCCCGGAAATGACTGCTAGAACGCAGCATACAAATCCAATTTCCCAAAAACCATATTCGAGCTGTACAGATTTTCAGGACAAGGAATGACATTCTGACATGTTTTCCCACAACGTCGACCCCGGGTATGGAGGCCGGCCAGGTGTCGCCCCGCCCTCATCCCACGCCCCGCCCTCACCCCCACGCCCCGCCCTCACCCCCACGCCCCGCCCTCACCCCCACGCCCCGCCCTCACCTCACGCTCCGCCACGCGTGCCTGAAATGGAAACCTCACAAAAAAATCACCTGAATTTGGGAACCACATTTGCTGATTGGTCTCTGTCCGAAATTTAGTTCTTTGGACTGTCCCTGCCCACCGAGGAGCTCTGGGTGCTTCGCGCTTGTTAAGGCCAGCGTTGATTTGTCCATTCCCCTTCACTGTGGGCAACGATTGGTTCGTTTCAAGAGCGGTGTAAGATGATTGGTCTGTACCCAGAGTGGCGTAAGTTGATTGGTTCATTTCCGGTGTGAGTTGATTGGACTTTATCCTACGTGAGTTGACTGGTTGTTATCCAACGTGGGTTGATTGGTTCGTTTCCGGTGTGAGTTGACTGATTCGTTTCTGACATGATTTGATTGGTCAGTTGACAGCCAAGAGTCGGTCGGTCCAGCCTGACCTATCCGACACTGTCTTAATTCTGATGCAGCCTGATAGCTACTGGTATGACCCCTATTGACCCATCAGAGTGCATATGACCCCTGTAGCTGTAACTAGCGGGAAGAGTGTTACTATAGGGTTCTCGTTGTCCCTTGAACTAGGATTATAATGTGGTCCATTTTACAGGAATCAGTGTGACCCCCCAATAACTAGTGTGACCTAGGTATGACCCCATTACCTAGTGCGAGCCCATTAGCTAGCGTGACCCCCCCCCCCCCCAGTAACTAGTGTGACCCCAGTATCCAATGATCCAACTAGTGAGTTCCACTACGAGATGCACCATCGTAGTTCCACTGCGAACTGCAAATTCGTAGTTCCACTACGCAGAGGCTCACGCTTCATATTTCCATGGCAGCTTTCTCATCATAGACTAAGGCATGACAGCCGGCATTGTTAGCCGGATTTAATCACAGAAACATGGCGAAAATCTGACATCCAATTAAGGTGGCATTAGGGGCAGGCGGCGCAGCCCGTAAATCATCGTCATTTTGCCTTTACGAGCTGGCTTATTCTGTAGGACTAGTACTCTCCTGCAGGCGCTTCCTGAGTCGAGCTTGCGCTCCTCCGCCATCAAGCTTTTACGTGTTTAATGCAACGTTATAAATGCTGTCTTCTCAGATATATATTTAAAACTGTGTATCGAGTTATCTTCAAGTTTTCTTCTAAGTCATTCCATTTCTTCAACACTTGAATGTTGTTTCTTAATCTTTATCCATTCCTCTTACTATTTATATGTCATTATCATGTCCCCCTCTATTCCTTCTCTCCTGTCATGTGACGAGATTGAGTTTTCCTAGCCATTCCTCGTACCTCAGCCCCGTCAGCTCAGGACCTTGTTACAATATGTAGCTTTTTGCCCGCCTGGACGACGTGCTCACGAGCGGGGTTCATGCTGTGTGATCATAGCATTAGGAAGGCTCTCTTCTCACACGTTGTTGAAGGCTGTCGAAAAGTTTCCAGTTTGGAATGAAAATGTCATCGATATTTAACGTACGTGTGTGTGTGTGTGTGTGTGTGTGTGTGTGTGTGTGTGTGTGTGTGTGTGTGTGTGTGTGTGTGTGTGTGTGTGTGTGTGTGTGTGTGTGTGTTCGCGCGCGTGCGTACACTTAATTAAGTTACAGGGTCAGTAACAGCTCCCTAGTTCCGCATTTCCATCATCTGGTCAGTTAATGCAGTGACGTTAGTTCTGGTTTTCTTTAAAAGCTATACTTACTGCTCTTGCTTCAACGATCTCCTCTTGTACTCCGATCAACGTACTCGCGACTCTGACGCTGAAGAAGTTTGATTCCTGACGTCTCTCTCTGACTCGTCTGCGTCTCCAGTTTCCACTCGCGTCCCTCTGGTCGTACTGTTGTTCTTTGTAAACACCGCAGCATTGTACACCTTGCCAGTGTGGTGAGATTGAGCTCGCTCAGCCATGCACTGGTAAATGAGTTTCCTCAGCTCTGGAACGAGTCTAGTCTCGCACCTCTCTATGTACGCAGTGATAGAAGTAACATTCACCCCTCCTTCTTCCTCCCATCAGGACACGGTCGACCAGACGGACGAGGAGGACCTCAGTAAAAACTCGACGGGGTCACCCAAGGTTCGCAAGAAGAAGAAGAAGCGACAGCCTCGCACCGTCATCAACCCGTACGGGAACGTATACTTCTACTGGCTGTGTGTGCTCACCATCTGCGTCCTCTACAACCTGTGGACGCCCATCGTCAGGCAGGCCTTCCCCGAGCTCCAGAGGTCGCCCCAGCCCCTGTGGTCAGTACTGGTAATCTGTGGTGGTAGTAGTAGTTATCATAGTAGGCAGAAGGGGTAACTGTAGTGACCTTCAAATGGTGCCCAACCACTTGGACACTTGGGGATTGAACGCCAACCTGCATGAAGCGAGACCGTCGCTCTATCGTCCCAGCCCAAGTGGTTGGACATAATAGTAAGAGAGAGAGAGAGAGAGAGAGAGAGAGAGAGAGAGAGAGAGAGAGAGAGAGAGAGAGAGAGAGAGAGAGAGAGAGAGAGAGAGAGACAGACAGACAGACAGACAGACAGACAGACAGACAGACAGACAGACAGACAGACAGACAGACAGACAGACAGACAGACAGACAGACATATAGACAGACAGTCATACAGACAGACAGACAGACAGTCAGTCAGACAGTACAAGACAGTACAAGACAGACAGACAGACAGACAGACAGACAGACAGACAGACAGACAGACGTGCAAAACCGAGAGACAAAGATGGAAAGATAAAGTTTTTAACTTTGAAATTGGAAGGCAAGCAGGAACATGTGCAGTCAGCACCAGATCTTCTTCTTGAGGTTATCTTGAAATGATTTCGGGGCTTAGCGTCCCTGTGGCCCGGTCCTCGACCAGGCCTCCTTTTTTTTATACATCCCCAGGAAGCAGCCCGTAGCAGCTGTCTAAATCCCAGGTACCTATTTAATGCTAGATGAACAGACACATCAGGGTAAAACAAACTCTACCCCCATTTGTTTCCGCCTCCACCGGCGGGGATCGAACCCAGAACCTCAGGACTACGAATCCCGAGCGCTGTTCACTCTGCCGTCAGGGGTGAAAGAAACTCTGCTCATTTGTTTCCGCCTCCCCACATGGGAGAGTTCACCAGCACGGGTTGAACATGAAGGGAACGTGAGAATGGTCCAGGACGGACCGGAACGTCGTCGTCCCTTCATTTTCTAGTGTGTGGATTGGGCAACATGAAGGGAACAGTAATTGATGGAAATTAGCAGTTTGTCAAGTGTAATGTGACACGATCACTCAAGCTTCCCCTTCACGCACTCACCGCCAGAGTGCGTGAGTGCCGCAGAGTTTTATAGTCTAAGAATGCCTAAATGCGTGTCGAGTTTAGTATGTGTACTCACCTATATGTGCTTTGCAAGGATAGCTTCAGCTCCTGGGCTCCGCATTTTAATCACCTGTGACCTATTGCTGTGGTTTCCGGTCTTGTTTATCATATATCCGTTCATGAAACCGGGTCAAGTTAGCCTCAACTGCCTCCCTTTTCACCTTACGCCACTTGCCCAGTACTTGCACTCTCAAGTTCTTTATTAAATCCTTTAGCTCATCTGAGTTTCTAGTTTTCAATACTATACCGTAATTCATAATTCATTTTGTTGGGGACAGGCAGCCTGTGTATATACAAGCATGTATGTTAGGGTTATATCGAGGTCTCCCTAAGGTTGAACAACCGACCCATTCCAGGATGTAACCCCCACAGCTGTTAACTAACTCCTGGGTACCTATTTACTGCCCAGTGAACGATTGATTGATTGATTGATGAAGATTAAGCCACCCAAAAGGTGGCACGGGCATGAATAGCCCGTAAGTGGTGGCCCTTTTGAGCCATTGCCAGTATCAAGAGCTGATACTGGAGATCTGTGGAGGTGCGACTGCGCCCTGCGTGACGGGAGATGTCTCCCGTCCCCAGTGAACAGAGGCATTGTTTATAAATATGCCTGACTATTTGTGTTCCACCTGGAATTAAAACCTGGGATTCCTGATTGAGCCGGGCTACCCACCCAGCTGTGCTATTGAGACCCCCTTGAAGATTGAGTGAGAGGGATGCAAGTAATAAGCATACATATTCTTAACACTAAAAGATTGAAAATCAAGATGTGTGATACTAGAAACATAGGTATTTCAATACTGTACTGTTACTTGCTATAATTAGATTATCCAATGCAGTTATCTGTTATAAGCAACCCAATATTATTACCTACTCTTTAAGTTACTCCATTGCTCCATTTCCTGATGCAACTTACTAATCCTCACACCATACTAAATAAGATGCTTATAAATATTTATGCTGTCACAATCTTTAACATGAAAATTATTCACAAAAAGTGCTCACAGTATCTCTGGTGATTTTCATGCAGGTACCTGAGTGATGGGCTGACAGATATGATATTCCTGCTGGATATTTTGGTACAGTTCCGAACGGGTTACCTGGAGCAGGGCCTTATAGTTTACGACTTCAGGAAGCTCGCCAACCACTACATGCACTCCAATAGCTTCATGCTTGACCTTGTCTCTCTCTTCCCTTTAGATTTTTTACAATTTGCAGTAAGTACTACTTTTTGTCATTTGTGTTAAATTATTTCAATCTCTCTCACTCATGCATTCAAATGCCCTCACACAAATCCAGCCCAAAGGGATCCGAAGATCATGCAGGCAAAGTTCAGGTAACCAGAAGACGCTTGAGGTCAAAAACAGGAAATGAAAAAAGCCTCATGACGTTTGCTGAAGATGGTCCGACAGCTGTGGCAAGAATAACTGCAGGAGGGAAAGAAATTCTCCAACTAACACACAATCATGTTAACTGAGATTTTCACGAATTGACAACGTACCTGAATTGTGCCAACTGGGTAAGTAATAGAAATCCCTGGTTAGCAGAAACTTCAGATGGCTGGAAGAAAAATGCAGTCAGTTGTCACGGTATGCTAGAACCCAGATGCTGAGAACCCGGAGGTGAGAACCATCACCCGAGAAAGATTCTATGTGCCAAATTCATCCTGAATAGAGGAGCTGAAAGTGGTAGGTGTATCAAAACATACAGGTAAGAATCTTGCAGAACCAGGGAAATAAGTAGAGACTGCCTGGACTCGCCTGGCTAATCTGGGAAATGGTAGTCATCCATAAAGCTGAACAAGGTCTCCGTGGTGTAGTGGTAAGACACACGTCGCCTGGCGTTCCGCGAGCGCTTTGTCATGGGTTCGTATCCTGGCCGGGGAGGATTTACTGGGCGCAAATCCTTAACTGTAGCCTCTGTTTAACTCAACAGTAAAATGTGTACTTGGTTGTAAAAACTATTCTTCGCGGCGGGGATCGTATTCCAGGGACCTGCCCGAAACGCTACGCGTACTAGTGGCTGTACAAGAATGTAACAACTCTTGTATATATCTCAAAAAAAAGGAATGTGAGTAATGAGAAGATAAAGATTGAGGATAAGCTAAAGATCCATAGTCCCACTGCTGAACCAAAGACAGCTGGAACATCACTCACTGAGGTGAAGTAATAGCAATGACTCTTGTATAATAAATCATGAATGAGAGTAAAGGAGAACAGCAGTAACCTGGAAAGAAAACGGGATATAAGGCCCTGGGACACAAGGCGAAATTTCCAAGCGTTCGAAGCCTACAGAAAAGCTCCCAGGTATCTTCCTACCACACTGATTGGAACTTACCATGAAAATGCTGACAAGAGAAACCTCACCAGAGACCAAACTTCGGTGATCACTTATGAGGTACTGACATTGAAGAGGAAAACCAAACCAGTGAAACAATCTGAATCAGTAGTTCGTTCCATTCTGGAGCCAAAGGTGCACCAGAACACCAAAATCAGTTGAAAGGACACTTCTGCAGCAGTCAGTGCCCAGTCCATTACCTCTGAAGGAAGTAGTAGTATGGAAAAACAAGAATGAAAATAACCCTGACTAGCAAGCAGTCATGGAGGCAACAGAAAAGTCCTTCCGAGTCTAAAAACACCAACTCATCCCTGAAAGCTGCAAGCAGTATAAGTCAAGTTGCAGACAAGTGAGGGAACCATATCATGAAACGACCAACAAAGTAACAAGGCAAACATGTCATCTAAACCCAATGGAAACTTACATTTGATCCATTATTAAACATCCACAAGCCCCTGATGTGATGGATGTGAAGCCGACTTTCACATACCAAATTCCATAAATTAGACAAGGGAAAGCATGCATTACCATATAACTACTGTTCATGTGTTAAACTAAAAGAATCGGTATTCACCACCCAATTGGTATCCCATGAATGTGCAAAACACAGCTATAAACAATGTTTTAAGATCTGTTCACAGTAAATTTAATTGAATCTTATCAACAGATCTGGCATGAGGTCCAAATCTGAAATACATATATACTGTACTACCCAGATGCCAGAATGACTCGAGAAGAAGCCCCATGAAAGGATGACACCTAAACCTCTGAGAAAATAATTGATAAGGAAACTGGAAAAACAATCCAATGCCAGGAAATGTAACATTTGCAATAAAGTCTGGGCAAAACTAATCAGCTGAGGATGCTCAAGATTGGGAGCATAAACACAATCATTTAACTGTACAGTAATGAAAAAATACTAAGCATGCCCAAGGAATGCTAAACCCATTTAGCTAAAAAAAAAAGTGTTGGTGCTTGCAGAGTAGTGATGAACACCTCAGGAAAGGGTGTGACCTCTGGTGACCTGAATTATAACCTGATAGTGTGCTTTGATACTACTGATAGTGTATAGTGTGTTGATATTGGGTAAACTACTGCTTTCAATTTTCCATCTTATCTTTCTTTAAATAAGATTCATAGTTTTGTTTCACCTAATCATTCCAGGCAGTTTTACAGTACTTGGTTTTGGGTCACTTTCAAATCCCTATGATTCTCTCGCCTCTTTGAACACGCCTGGTAATGGCAGGCCTATGGAAGTCTAAAGGCCTGGTAATTTAATCTCTTGTGATGTATATTTTTTGGGGTGTTAACTTATAATAACAGTGCAATTTACAGTACAGTATTTAATATCCACAAAGCTGCACACATTAGTTTAATTGTTTGTTCTTTCACTTTTTTAACCAAACTGATAGAGAATATATTTTATATATTTGGTTTGCTTAATTTTCAGATTGGTACACACCCTATCATAAGATTTCCAAGATTTATCAAGGTATACCGAGTGTACAATTATTATTATATGGTGGAGTCTCGGACGTTGTACCCCAACATGTGGCGAGTGGTGAACCTCATACACATCCTCCTCCTCCTTGCTCACTGGTTTGGCTGCTTCTACTACATGCTGTCCGAGGCAGAACACTTTAGAGGGGACTGGACATATCCTTATCATGATGGTAAGTATGTAGTGTGTGGCTTCAGCAACTCGTGAAGTTGCTGTATATATATGTACAGTATACTGTATGTATGTATGTAATATGATCACTTTTTATCCTATTCAGGGGGATAACTCCCCCCCCCCCTTCCCCTTGGCATACAGAATACCATAACCATTACACCAGGTGAGCAATAGTGTAGTGGTTATGGTGCCCTCTACACGAGGGGGGTGTGCTTTTGGGGCTAGGGTTTGAATCCTGGTCGGGTCAAAAGAGTTCAGAGTTATTTATGGCTTGTCCGTAATAAGGTATAGCACATTTGCTCTTTGGAGACAGGGTTGTATCGTTTATTGGGGCTTTTGTGTATTAAATCGGCAGTCGTTTTTTGTTTGGTAGTAGATAATGAAGTCCAATTTTTGATCTGGGGTTGTCAGTTTCATTCCATTTGAAATTATATTTTTTATTTTTATTGCTCCTGTTTTATTCTATGAATTCTTTGTGTATTTCTCATAGTTTTATGGTAGTGGTTGCCTCCTATTGCAGCTGTTCTGTTGTACCATTTTTCTAAATATCTTCTGATATTGGTGTTGACGTCTCTATTCGTATACCGTTATTTATTAATACTTTAAGGCTTCTGTCCAATTTTTTGGGTTGCATTGCTTTAAGTTTGGGCACTGCTGGGATGTTGAATGATTTTCTGTAATAGGAAATCAATCTTCATTACTACTTCACATTTTGTAACCTAACCCTTCATTATATCCTCAGATTCTGCCTTTAAAACTTTATCAAGAAAATACCTTGGTTCTGTTTACTGGTCCACCCTGACGCTCACCACTATCGGCGACCTCCCAACACCTGAAACAAACAGGCAGTAAGTGTATCTTGTTTAAGTTGTGATTGGTTTTATTTCTTATTTCTTTTATGTGTAGGACATATTAACAGGAAAGTTACTTGATTAGCTTGGTAAGTTAAGTGTTTTTTATTTATGGTTTTATTGACTTTAAAACAATCAGTGAGAGTGCCAGAGATCATATAGATTCATCACTGTAAGGCATCTGTTCCAGTAAGTTTAGACCTGCAGTAACTTTTCTGTCTTTTTGTAATGCTTCTGTTATTTTAGCATTTGAAGTGGTATGGAAAAATGTAGACTGGGTTTTGTGTTCTTTCTCTTTTTTTTTTTTTTATATAACTATTACAAGACAGTCATATTAAGTGAACCCTTTTCATAAAATCCAGTACTGGTAATGTATTTTTGTTTACTTTCCACATTTCATCAACATTTATGAAATGTAAATAGAAGGCTTTCTAAGTGTTGTTTGATCTCTTCAAGAATTTAAGATAATGGTAGAAACTATTTTTTTAATTCCATAACTTATTCAGTTTTGGAACTGCACTAATGGTTCCATAAGATGTCCTTAGTAGACCTTTCCTAACACAAGCTTAACCCAGGCCTCTTTCCTACCCTAAATGACCTGTAATTTTGCATAAAATGCATAGAGAAGTTTATTAGAAGCGAACCACTTCTTGACAGTGCACTGTGGCCATGTCCTCAAAGTCTCCTCATGTAGCACTAACACTGAAGCAATTTATTTTTATACTGTATTAAATATAATTGTGTCCCAGCCAGCTAGTGAATAGTTAGGTGATTGCAGTACTGTATATGATGCATTGACATTGTATTGAAGGGACAATATATACATTAGTTTTATGGTAGTGTACTTATGGTATATTATATATATATATATAATACAGTACTTAACCTCAATTAGTAATTTTTTCCCTTTCATATTTAACTTCACATATAAATGAATAGCAGGATAATGTAGAGTAATAGCTTAACCTGTCGGTATATATTTTTTTAAATTAAAACTATCAAAATTTAGTCAAGAGTCAAAATGTTTGAGTAATAATGTGGTATACCATGTCATATACAGTACCCTATATAAGAATTTCTATATTACTGTACATTAAATAATTTTATCCACATGAATGCATTGTGAAGTTTGTGAATGCTGCTGTTTGGGCAAGGATAAGTTATTCTCCAATATTTAGTCTTTATTTTGCTGTGGACATGAGTGCATGTCTTCATCATATGCTGTACATCTCTGTTGATATTCTTGGTTGCAGCTTTGGTCTGTGTCCTAAGTAAAAAGATCTAAAGACGTTTAGCTCATTCCTTTGGTTAGCAAATGCATGAAATATATATCCAACAAGACATAATTAGATTTTTGAGATTGAGAGGGAGTATATGTCATTTCTGATAGCATGCTTGTGATTGTGAAGGCACACACATCATGATAACCACCCTAGTAGATGATTTGTGGTGAATTATCAACCAATATGTTTACACTGCACTCCCACTCAAAAGGACATTCATTCCAGGCTTTTTGATATTCCATTGTATCTGGCTTTTGCTCGATTTCAAATTTGTTTTACAAAATTTATTGCTCCCCCTTTCCCTCCCCTTTTTTTTCTTTTTTTTTTTTTTGGAAACAATACATCATGTATTTCTTTGCAGTGAAGGTCCAGTTGCCTTGTTACCCTCGAGTGGCCAAATGAGGTGTCCCTGTACTACTGAAAGAATTTGCATATGCAGTACACCATGTACATTACTGTAATAAAACAATTACTCTTTGCAGGTAAATATTGTACAGTACATTACAAATTTACATTATAAAAAAAAAAATGTCTGTTAGCAGCTTAATCAAACTGAAGATGACCACCTCTATTGTGCACTTAGAATGAGCTTGGCACCCGAGTCCTGACTGACACACCACTTGGAGTTCTAACTAGTAACTGATCTATAAGGATTTCTCTCCTTGATTTTCTCACCTCCTCCAGGAAAAGTTCTTTGGCATGCCTCAAATGTAAATGCACTCTGGCAATGTCTATATTATAAGTTTGTGAGCAGATATCTGTTAGACTATCAGTACTGCTTTAATTGAAATCATATTTAACCAATGGCTGTACTATCACATCTCCAGCATCATTGTCCTCCTCCTCCTCCACATGGCCAGAAATACTCTTACTTATCCCCATCAACATTCCATGACCTGAATCATGTCTCCAGCTTCTGATCATCTCATAAATCTCAATATCAAATACCTTATTGCCCTCACTTCCATCTGAAGCTGTACCTATGTCGTCTGATGCCACAAACATATTCCACGCACACATTATATGGCGTCCCTTACTTGTGTTAGGAATGATGTGAAGAACACTGCAGTAGACCTACTGGCTCATACTAGGCAGGTCCTACTTAAATCTAACCATTTTTCACTTGCGTATCCCTATATTTTTTAAAAGTTATTAACATTCGCCGAGTTATGTAACAATTCTCTTAAGGAATACCTTTTAACATTTCCCAATTTTCTGTCTCTTGTTCACCTCACCTTCCTCATCAGTTGGATTAATTAATTAGCATAACCTCATCCAACTTGAATTTTTTATTGTGTTTTTTTTTTTGTGGTGCATTTATGACACTTGATTTATGAGTTAGATGAGATATAGTATATGGTGTTTGGTGTTATTGCCATACAAATTTACCAAGTCTCAGTTTTTCATTTGATATTCTGTTACTGTATTTGCAAAATTTATTATTGAATCAGTTAAAAAATTTATGTAAATGGAACATTACATGAGTGATTGTAGGCTAATAAGAAGGTTATGATTACATTTGTTATTGCTTGTATTTGGTATCCTTGCTAACAGCTGTATTCTTCCTCTTATGGCATCATCTGCATTTGCACACACAAAGGCCAAGATTATTTAGTTATTTTTTCCCCTGCGCATTTTTCTCTAGCCTTGTAACAAATGTTCTTCTTGCTCTAGTTAATATGTAGTCTCATCCACATTGTAAATTTAGAAAAATAGAACCTGTTACTACCAATATTGTAACTTAATTTTCTTTTACTCTAAATGGATCCACTTTCTTCCACTCTCTTCTCAAGGCTTAGTTTGAGACCCTCCTCGTTCTAATTCCCATTGTTGGGGGCAAGAAGCCTGCACTTAGGCTTATTGAGGTTTCCCAGGCCACAGACTAACCTTCACCAGGATGTAACTCACAACATTTGTAACTACTGGGTATCTACTTACTACTAGGTGAAGAGAGGCATTAGGTGAAATGCAACATGCCCAACTGTTTATGTATATGGATTGAACTTTGGGTCCCTCAGTTGTGAGCCAAGGGCATAGACCACTGTGCTACATGACCCCTGATGGCATGCTTCTGCTTAAATTTAAAATTTCCAGTCATTGCATAACCTTGATTTTGGTAATATCTAATTTGTATGTGCAAGCCAATTTGCTCTGTTTACCTTACAACTATACACCTGCAGTGTGTTGCTGCATGAATCCGTTATATATAACGGCATCCAAGTCAACGTGTTTTGCAGTTTGTTTTCCTGTCACTGGTACTAGCACCAAGACTCTCCCCTGCAAAAACAAAATTTTAAAGATGGTGTTTTCGTTTGCATTTATCAGCTGCTGCCAATGCCATGCTCCTTTGCCAAGATTGTAACAAGTATGGCCACTCAAGATTCATCACCAATTCCATCTTTTTATAAACAATTAATATCATTCTTTTCTTCTTCTCTTCTTCAGCCTGAATAATGCTGCTGGTAGACATCTTTCTTGCTAAATTTTACTTAAAAAAAAGTCACAAATATAGTGTACCCCCATTTATTACCATAAATAATCACAATTATTAAAGTATTTGTTTACTATTTTTGAGAAATATTTAGTTGCTATGGTAATTTTCTTGCCATAAATATATCTGCCTGAGCAGTTGGAATTTTTGTTTACATGCATTGCAATCAATGCCAAATACTATTTTCCATTATGCGTCAAAGCTTCCACTGCAATTGGATTAGGAGGATCATGTTTCTTTAGAGTGAGAGTGCAGTGTAATATAGTATAGACATTACAGATTTGGTGATATACCATATAATCCATATAATAGTGTGCATTTAAATGATTCTTGGTCCTAGTCGTAGATAATGTCTCCTATCATATTCTGTATGACTTAAACAATATTGCTCCAGTATAAGGTGCTGCGTGATGCATCCTAGCTAAATGTTGCATTGGATATACAGCATGACTGTCAAGTTCTGAAGAAAGCTTGTGTAATGACAAGCTGTAGCAGTCAATATGAGGATGAAAGTCAAAATAAGCTTTAGAAGGACTCTTACTCTTAAAGCTGAAATAGTAGAGACTTAAGATTTTCAATAGCAAAAGGAGTGGTGTCTCATGTATAACAGATATGATACCTGCTTGATGCCTGCCTGATGGGGGTTCTGGGAGTTCTTCTACTCCCCAAGCCCGGCCTGTGGCCAGGCTTGACTTGTGAGAGTTTAATATGAAGGATAGATTAAAAAAAAATAGAAAATATTGCCACAAAAGAGGTGTTCATGTAACACAAAATGGGCCAGACAGAGGATTAATACCCAAACAGGGCATTAATCCTTAAAAAATAAAAACCAAGCATAAGCAAATGTATAAATAAAATCAAAAGTTTCATTGGAGGCAGAAATGAGCCAGGCAGAGGAGGCAGCTGACCACATTAGGTACAGATAGCCACGGCGGGAACAGCTGGCCCACATTAGGTACAGATAGCCACGGCGGGAACAGCTGGCCCACATTAGGTACAGATAGCCACGGCGGGAACAGCTGGCCCACATTAGGTACAGATAGCCACGGCGGGAACAGCTGGCCCACATTAGGTACAGATAGCCACGGCGGGAACAGCTGGCCCACATTAGGTACAGATAGCCACGGCGGGAACAGCTGGCCACATTAGGTACAGATAGCCACGGCGGGAACAACTGGCCACATTAGGTACAGATAGCCACAGCGGGAACAGCTGGCCCACAT